TCAGACAAAGTTAAACTATGAGATATCAGAGGCAGGAACCACAGTTTCACCAAATTTGGATGGATTTTATGGTTTATCTCAATAGCAGTAGATTACAATCTGGTATATTTATGTGTGTGGCAATATTTTCATATGCAAGGTACTTGTCTCTGTATTCACATTGCAGTAGATATATTTTGTATTCTCTATACTTTTTCTTTTGTTTTTTTTTGTCTATATGTAACTTGGATTTATGTTAATGTAGTTACTTGATAGTTTGTTAAACATTAATTAAAATATTTTTTTAAAAATAACGATGAGGTAGTCCTTGCTCAACAGCCATTTGTTCAGCGACTGCTCAAAGTTATGATGGCACTGAATGAATGGTACTTACACCCAGTCCTTGAAGTTACAGCCACTGCAGCACCCCTATGGCCATGTGATCAAAATTTGGGCGCTCAGCAGCCCACCTGCATTTATAGCCACAGGGTGCACTTCAATTGCCCCCACCTGCCTATTTCCCCCAGCTCTGCCCTTTTGGCCACCCTGCATCCCCATCACCCTGCACTCCACCACTGCTGCTCCCCCACACTCTGCCCTGAACCCCAGGAAGAGGGACACACACGGCCAGCAATTGCTCCACGAAGGGCCAGACTGGGCATGCGTCATCAGCAGTGGAAGGAAGATGGCAAAGGTCAGTTGGGAGTAGCAGAGTGCAGAGCAGGGAGGGCAGTGGAATGCAGGGTAGCAAGGGGCAGCAGGGGTGGCAGAGTACAGGGCGGCCAAAAGAGCAGAGATGGGGGGCAGATAAGTGGGTAGGGTAGTTGAAGCAGAGGTGAGTGTGGCAGGGCAGAAATGTAAGGTCTTGGCCTAACAATGGCATGGTCTTGGCCTAATGACCACAACTGGGACCACTGAAAGTGCTGTCCCTAAGTGGTGCAGTCATGTGATGTTTTACCTAACAACCACGTTGCTTAACAATGGAAATTCCAGTCCCAGTTCGGGTTATTAAGCAAGGACTCCCTGTGTATTAACATATATTATATGGATATTATTACAAGCATTTTATAGGGCAACAATCTTTTCCAGCAAATTTAAAGGCAGTGCAGAAAAGAGATAGAAACAGGCAAACCTATACAGGAGGTTCTATACAGGTGGTACTTACAATTGGCCCTCGGAGTTCCACCTGTTGCAGTGTCTCCACAGCCATGTGATTGTGATCTGGGTGCTTGGTACCTGGCTCATGATTATGACATCGCAGCATCCTGCAGTTGCCATTTGCAATCTTCTTTGCCAACTTTCAACAAGCAACAAGCAAAGTCAATGGGGAAGCTGGCAAGAAGTTGTAAATGGCAACCACATGACATCCTCGCTTAACAACCTGTGGTGATTTGCTTAATGACAGTAACCAAGAGTGCCGGAATTGCTGTTGCTAAGTGGCGTGGTCACGTGACATTGTGCTTTACGACCGTTACTTAGCGATGGCAATTCCAGTCCCAATTGCTATTGTTAACTGAGAACTACCTGTATAGACTATAAAACTGATTTATAAGTAGACAAATGATACCTATTTCAGAAATAAGCTTCAGCGCTACACTTTGTGTCTATACTGGATACAGTTCTATAATTTCTTAAATACGAATAGCCTTATACCCTCTCAATTATTTTGAAAAAATAATTCTTCAAGAAGAGGAAAATTCTAAAGGGGCAGTATCAGAAATTTATAGTGTTCTATTAACTGTCTCTGGAATGAAAATTCAGTCTGAAAATGTTAAACATAAAGACATAATATCATAATAATAATAACATAACTCCTGGATCAGGAGTCCCTCTTGTCTGTCACTCATGCCCTGGTCATCTCTTGTTTAGACTATTGCAATGCGCTCTACATGGGGCTATCCTTGAAGAGAATCCAGAAGTTACAGCTGGTTCAAAATGTGGCCGCACGGGCAATCTTGGGTGCCCCAAGGATGGCACGTGTAACACGTTTGCTGCAGGAGCTGCATTGGGTTCCAGTTTGTTTCCGGGTCCAATTCAAGGTGTTGGTTATCACCTTTAAAGCCTTACATG